ATGAGAAGGACATGTTTAATGGGCCTGTAGCATGGTTTGTTCTCATGAGGCTCCTTGTTGGTAGCGTTGTGGAGTGGGCCTTGCAGTGGGCCAGTGCTCTAGACTAAGAGGGTTGGGAATTGTTTACATGCAAGAGGAAGGACTTTTAGTAGCTCTTCAAGACTAATCCTGAACCTGGAGGATTAGCTCGGGGGACTCTTGACTCTTGCATTACCCTGGCTTGAAAGTGCTTCACAAATGGGCATCTATTTGGGCTAATTATGTTTCTCTCAATGTCCTAAGTTTGATTGCTAATCTAGTACCACCAAATGTGATTGTTATGGAGATAGTCCTTCAAGGCATGACTAATTTAAAGTAAGGTAATTAGGCTGGGTCTTAATTTAACATGGTTGGGACATTTATAAGAACAGGAGATTCAGACTGAGAGAGACACACTAGGAATACACACACAGACAAAAACATCATGCAATCCATAAAGAAAGAACTTTGAAAGCACCAGACCTCAGCAGGAACCAGAACTGGCCATGTTTTTCTTGGATTTCAGCCCCTTAAAGTGTGAGACAATAAATTTTCATTGTTTAGATCACCTTGTCTGTGGTATTTTTTATGGAAGCTCTATTAATCCAATTGACTTATCTCTGCCCAATGAGAAACATACAAGAGGAAGTAGTGAAAATTTGCTTTTTCCTGAAAGGAAAGCATAGGAAAATATTATTCTTCTCTTCTCTATTTGCAGGAAATGCCCAGAAACACCAGTAGCTGCCTGGAACTCAGTGATAGGATGCAGCCAGAGTGGAGAGACTGAAAGAGCCTAAGGTCTTGGAGACATGTGAAATGGCTGGGTGAACCAAGCCTGGAGCCTGCCCTCTTCAGGATTTCTTATTTCAGGACCTGATGGTTACTTTCTGTTTAAGCCATTTTGAGGTGGGTTTTCTATTATTCATAGCTGAAGGCATGCCAACTGATCTATGTGTTCACTAAGTAAGTGTGAAGATCCATGAGATTTGGAGAGGGTAGCATGAAGAGCAGACTCAAGAGGAAACAGCAGGTAGAATCAAGTGGATGTAGTCACTGACTGGAGGCTTGTGATTAGAAGGAATAATGTCCCTCAAATAAATCTACCCTGCCTAGCTTCTTAGGTGCAGTTCACTGTAGACTGTTGTTCTGTGACTTATGGGCCACTAAGGGTGTGATGCATAATGACAGAAGATGTCAAAATAGGAAAAATATATCTCGAAATCAGTGAAAGTACTAAGCATATAGGATTTTTTAAATCTTGTATTTTTGAGATAGGGTGTCGCTATGCAGTTCAGGATGGTCTTGTGCTCACTTTGTAGCCCATGCTGGTCTCAAACTCACAATGATCCTCCTGTCTCAGCTTACCAAGTGCTGGGATTATCGGTGTGCGGCAGCACACCCAGCTATTTTTCTCTTTTATGTGTGTAGGGCTCATGGGTATGTTTAAACAGAGCTAGAATGTGCATTCGAGTTGCCTATTTTTTTTTTTTTTTCAAAGCAGCAGGCCTTGGAACTGGTGACTCGAGTGGCCAGTTGTGCAGCTCTTTCTACAATTACATTCTTAGTGGAAAACTGTGAGCAATGTTTACAAGGTAAGCTGTGCTGCACGCCAGTAGCCTTTCCAGTCCCTTGATATTGTGAACCACGAACATCTGGAAGCCCCTGGGGGGCTTTGTTCTCATGTAGATCCTGTAACTAATGTTGGACGTCCGGAATTGGCCCTTGAGTCTTCGCCACCTAGTGGTCCATGTTTCTGGAATTCGGGTGTGATGCTTCTCAGCTGACCAGTGCTGGTTAAACTTCTTGGCCCTCTTCTGGCTGTCCCTGAGCTTCATGAGAAGTCTGAGGGCAGCCATGCAGCTGGGTATGAGATAGCTGCCACCATCATAGAGAACAGTTAGCAGAAGAAAGAGGCCAATGTATAGATTTCCTTAGAGCTTTTCTTCATGGCTGCTATTTTATTCATGTATCTGAGCATTTTGTGTAAATCAGTACATTGAATCCGTGAAGATAGATGATAACCATGAAGACACTCAGGGTCTTCTTCTAAGGATTGTGAGATTGGGTTGGAGAGATGGCTCAGTGGTCTAAAGCACCTACTTGGAGCAAGCTTGGCAAAGCACAGGGACCGTGGTTCAATCCCCCAGCACCACATGCCAGCCAGCCCCGCCCCCTGGTGGGCTGAGCTGGCCACACACACACACACACACACACACACATACACACACACACTAAAAAACAAAAAAAGGATTGTGAGATCAGTACTAATACACAGTGATAGCTGGGTGTGGTGGTACATTTCCATAATCCCAGCACTCAAGAGGTTGAGGCAGGAGGATTAGTGTGAGTTTGAAGCTGGTATGCGCTGTGTCATGAGTTCAAGTCTAGCCTGAACTACACAGTGAGACCCTGTCCTAACCTGCCTCCCCAGGACACCACAGTGATGTGCAGGGCATGTGGTATCGCTGAGGGGAGGCTGATCAATTTTATTACAGCTGAAAGTCGGGGGAGGAATTTGAGAACTGCAGAATGACATAGGAGCAGGAATGGTATCAGCGTTTGAAGCATCAGAGGGTGTTTGAACTGGTTTATTCCCAAATGCAATATCTAGTTTGTGTCAGAATGGGAAAGCTAATAACAAAGTAGTGAGTCACTGTATGAAACTAAATTTATCCAAGATAAAGACTTAGATGTATTCTGAATCTGAATTCTATTTTGTTTTTTAGCAGAGCAGAGTGCCAGAGTGCAACAATGTGAGGGAGCTGCCTGTCTCTATTGTAGAATTCTTTTTTGCTTAGTTCCCCTTAACAATTTCTTAAAAGAATACAGAAAAATTCAAAATTAATTTAAAAAGCTTTAGAAATGATACACAATTTCATTAAGCAAAGTAATAAGAATTCATCAACCTTGTACTAAAATACAATGTATATATATATTATATTTAATATATATCAAGGAAAAGTTGACATAATTATAAGAATATATAGGCATCTCTTCCTGTAAGTGGCCTTAGGTGACCTGTGAAAATGGTTCGCTACTCTCTTGACCCAGAAAACCCCACAAAATCATGCAAATCAAGAGGCTCAAATCTTCGCGTTCACTTTAAGAACACGCGTGAAACTGCCCAGGCCATCAAGGGTATGCATATCCGAAAGGCCACCAAGTATCTCAAGGATGTCACATTAAAGAAGCAATGTGTACCATTCTGGCGTTACAATGGTGGAGTTGGTAGGTGTGCCCAGGCCAAACAGTGGGGCTGGACACAGGGTCGGTGGCCCAAAAAGAGTGCTGAATTTTTGCTGCACATGCTTAAAAATGCAGAGAGTAATGCTGAGCTTAAGGGTTTAGATGTAGATTCTCTGGTTATTGAACATATCCAGGTGAACAAAGCACCCAAGATGCGCCGCCGTACTTATAGAGCTCGTGGCGGATTAATCCATCCATGAGCTCCCCCTGCCATATTGAGATGATCCTTACTGAAAAGGAACGAATTGTTACCAAACCAGAAGAGGAAGTGGCACAGAAGAAAAAGATATCCCAGAAGAAACTGAAGAAACAAAAACTTATGGCATGGGAATAAATTAAGCATAAAATAAATGCAAATAAAATTTAAAAAAAAAGAATATATAGGCAGATATATAGATTTTTTTTTTTTTTTTTTTTTTTTTTTTTTTGCAGAACTAGGGATTGAACTCAGACCCTTGCGCTTGCCAGGCAAGTGCTTATTCTACTGAGCTATCTCCCCAGTCCCCAGATATATAGATTTAAACCACATTACCAAACAAATTGATTTAAGTTGTAAGAGTAGAAAAATTACATTTCTTGTTATATAGGTCTTGCTTTATCTTGGTCTTCACCATCCAGCAGAGAAGTATAAAAATGAAATATCAAAAGTAAAGCCAAATTAACAGGCTGAGCTGTAAAAGGCTCAAGTCAACAACTTCTGACATTGCCAGTCCTACAGAAAACCCACCACTATTATGGACTACTGGACTATATTGGAATATTTTGTTGAATTCATGCACCTATAATATTTAAATGGCAATGGAATATCCATCTCTGACAAAACTAAACAAAAAAGGGGATACAAATGAACGAGCATTTTGTATCTGTATATTCAAAATAGTTAGGATAGATATGCAGCTACTTTCTCTTAATTAAATGAATAGAAAGATTTGTTCTAGTAGTGTTTTTGGACAGGATATCATGTCTGCATCTTGTACTATGAATAACCACCAAGGAGGCAACAATATGCAATGTATTAATTATTGAAACTGTCCTACTAATTGGTTTTGAAACTGTTTCATTGCTATTTGTTTCTCAAAATTATTTTTTAACAAAGAATTCAACAATGTTCTTATACAGGTTGTTGTCTCATACTTGTCTTCTTGTGTAGTGCCGTAGGCAGCACATGTGTGCTTACCTGTGCTAAGTCACAGCTACACAGTGACTGCATCCCATGTCTTGCCTGCGGATCACATCCTCAAGTGTCCTTAGATGCCCCGGAGCTGTAGAGCAGTCTGAGTGGTTCCCACATCCCATCCCCTCAAGGGTCGGGAGTGTATCAGTGTGACAGTCCTTATATAACAGGGCACCTGTAGTTAACAAATCAAGATCTGTTTTATTATTAAAATTTCTTTTTGTTACAGAATGATGAGGATAGTATGCATGTACATTTTCCAAAATTTTTTACTTTACAGGAAAGACAGGCAAAAAGCACCAAAAAATATCCAACAACCAATGTGAACTTTTATTAGCCTGCTCATCTTTTTTGTGTGTTTATTTTTTGGAAAATAGGTCCATGAAATCCACAAATTAGGAAGCAGGGCTAGTCAAAGAGCTTTGAACTCTGTCCTTCACAGTCCGCTAATACTGTTAATCATTAATAAATTTAAAAACTTTCCCTGAGAATATCAGCAGCCTCACTGCCACTGGGTATTGTGCCACGGGAGGGTGAGATGAGAGGCCCGGCAGCGCCTCTCGGGATTTCTCCAGAAAGCCTCGGCCCCCCGTCAGGAGGCTCTAGAGGAAGGGCGCAGACTCCATTCTGCTGGAAATTGCCAGCTCCACGCTCGGTGAGGGCTAGACACTGGGGAGCGTTAATTGAGATCTGTTTTAGGTGCCGGAGATGTATGGAGTTTGAAAAAAGGCAGAGGACTTTTGTGTCTTCGTAGGACTAGAGCGGGGCCATGGAAACAGGGGAAGATGGTCAGGACAGTGAGCTTCATCTTGCTTTTCTTCAGGTGACAATGGTCAGCATCAGTATCCTGTTGTTCCTCATCGTGGCCACCAGGGGGTGCAGCGCAGGTGAGTGTCTTCCGGGGAGCTCTGTCCTCCCAGCTTACCTGTATGTAGTACAGGAAGAAAATAAGCAGGTTGCATTATACCAGGATCTTGGTCGCTTCGAGGATGGAGTCTTTGAGACGCACAGAAGCAGACTGGATGCAGGCTGACTGCAGGTTTCTGGTCTCGGGAGGGCTCTGACCTGTCGCAGGGAGTGTTCTGCTAAGGCCTGTCCTGGTTCCGAGCTGTGTGACTTGACTGGCCCCAGGGGACTCTGGCGATAGCTGTGCATCCTCCTGGCCATTCGCGGCTCCTGTGGCCGTGGCTTGCGTCACACTTCACGGCTCTGCTTTATGCCCCGGGACGTTCTTTTCACGGCTCTGTAACAGCAGCAACAATGGCATTTCACAATCTGTATTTCTCTTCATTGAATTTTTTAAAAATATATTTTTTCTAAATATAACTTCACTTGACCTCCACAAAAATCATATTTATTAGCTCCATTTTAGGCATCAGCAAACTGAGGGGCAGATAGGATAAGCTGGGGTACTTGACTTGCAAGTGTTGAGCTACTTGTAGTTGAACACCGCAGACTTCGCAGCTTGCGGCTGCTTCCATCCTGTGATTCTCATTACTTTGCAGAGTTGAGAAGTGCGTGCAGGTTCTGTGTTTACACTTCCGTCAGTCTCTTGGCCATGGGCTGTACTGTCTGCCTTGAAGCTTGTTTCAGTCACATTAAGCTATGTATCCTTTCTTCAACGGACTGGACTTTGCTTTCTTTTTACCAGGCCTGTGGACATCTCCTTCTTTGACTTCTCCTTGTTCCTACTGATAAATCATATTTATCCTCTCAGAATAAGCTCAGGGTCCTCGACACCAGACTTCTGCGACTACAACATCCTGTCCTAGAGAATCCCCATGCTGCCTGTCAGGGCTCTCCATTCTTCTTTCTCAGGCCAGAGCTTGCCTTTCGCTCTCCTGAGGTTGTCACTCATTTCTGTCCATACACTTTCTTGTCAGCTTGTTGGCAGCTCCCTCTATTGGTAAGCTTTCACGTTGTTTGCGGGGAGAATGTTGAATTCCTTAAACTACTTAGTGTGCAGGGCAGGGCCTAGCACCAGTGTCTCAGTTACTTTCCTCTCATTGTTGGGACAAAATACCCGACACCTAAAATGAAGGAAGGAAAGATTTATTTATCTCACAGTTTGTCAGTCCATACTTGGCTGGCTCTAAGGCAGAGTAGCACATGGTAGCGGGCAACTATTCATGGCAAAGGAAAGCAGCAAAGAGCAAATGCAAAAGGGAGGAGCAGCGGCAGCAGTGGCAGAGGCAAGCTTGTCTTCCCTCCTTACATTGTAATGTAGATTACCCACCTCAGGGCCGGAATAGCACTCACACCCATGATCTGAGCATTGGATCAAGAATTAACTAAGCTCTAGAAGCTGCGCCATGACTGCATGAGGCTTTGAGGGGACAACTAGACACAAACCGTGACAGCCAGCATCAGGTCACGTAGGGAGGCATGTGTGAAGTCTGCTCTGGGTGCAGGCCAGATGTGTGGAGTGGAAAGGACACCTCTGTCTCAAGGCCTTTGAACCCAGGCAGTGAGGCTCTGGTTCAGTGGAGAAATGAGTTGGAGATTAATGATAAAGGGAGGCTGGGTTTTGTGTCAAACCAGCAATGAGAATAAAACTCCACATTTTCTTTAGCTGTGACCTATCTTGATCCTGAGAAACAGACCTGTTTTTTGTCTCCATCTCTTCCCCGAAGCTGCGTGGAAATCAAGGAGAGATGTCATGGTGCCCAAGGTGAGTGTTGAGGCTTAGAACTAGAGCCCAGCCAGGTACCCAGACTTTGTCCTCTGAGAGGTTTGTTTGTTTTTAAATATTGTAAAATATGATCTTTTTGAATAAAGTTTTGCTTTGACCAGGTTTCAGCGGCATAAATTACATTCACCATGTCATGAAAACACCACCACTAGGAATCTGTAGTAAGTTTTTATTACCTCAGCGGCAAGCTGTGTGGCCATTAGGCAAGGGAACCATAGCCTCCCTTTGCCCGTCTCGGGGTAACTGCTATTCTACTTTGTGTTTCCAAAAGTTTGCTGATTCCAGTTACCTCATATAAGTAGAATCATGAAGTCTTTGCCTCTTCGTGTTTTCATAAGTTCACTTAGCTAATATTTTCAAGGATTATCACTGTTTAAAGATGGATGACTCATTCCTTTTCCTCATATGTATATATATGTATCAATATATATGTATTATATATAACATATACACATCATGCTGTTTTAGCCATTCATATGCTTAGGAATGCACGAGGGTAGCTCTACTCTTTGGTCTTGTGACCAACACTTGGACGAACTTTAGTGGACAAATATCAGGTGGAGTTCAGGCTTTGAGTTCTTTCAGATATATACTAGCAAAGGAATTTCTGAGTGACTGATAAAATTTTGTTTAGCTTTGTGGGGAATGTTGCTGGCAGTGTTGATAGTTCTGTTGTAGGTCCTTCAGAGGGGCAGGGTCTTTTGAACTCAAGGGGAGTCTGGTAGACGTAGGACACACCGTAACAGGACTCAGAAGAGGAGCCTTTCTGGTGTTTCTAGTTCCTGAGGCTGTTTTGGGTACTGGGCTGAGATGTGTAATGAGCCCTCCGACAGGCTGCTGTTCTCCACAGATGGCCTGTATTTCCTCCGCACCAAGAATGATGGCATCTACCAGACCTTCTGTGACATGACCACAGATGGCGGTGGCTGGACCCTGGTGGCCAGTGTGCATGAGAACAACATGTACGGGAAGTGCACAGTGGGTGATCGCTGGTCCAGTCAGCAAGGCAACCGAGCCGACTCCCCTGCGGGTGACGGCAACTGGGCCAGCTACAACACATTTGGGACTGCAGAGGCTGCCACCAGCGATGACTACAAGGTTGGTGCCACTCACCATCCATGTGAGAAGTGCAAGGGCTGGGTGTGGCTGGGCCCAGCAGTCAGGGGAGTGTTGAAAGGTGACTGCAACACTAGCTAGGGTAGAGTAGTTGGGCAAAACACATGCCTCAAAACCCACCTTCCTCTCATCAAAGTCTTGAGCAGTCAAGGAGGTAGTGTTAAAAGCAGAGTCTGGGTGAGCTGGCCATCTCTCATTTGAACCCAGTCAGAGCTGTCAGCTTAGCCGAGGGAGGGAGAACATTGTGTGTATCCTTTGCTTTGTGGAATCTCCTGACCTGGTCAGGCTCAGTGTGCGTTGCTTTCTAGAATCCTGGCTACTGTGACATCCAGGCCCAGGACCTGGGCATCTGGCATGTGCCCAACAATACCCCCATGGAGAACTGGAGGAATAGTTCCCTGCTGAGGTACCGCACTGATACTGGCTTCCTCTTGAATCTGGGACATAATCTATTTGGACTCTACCAGGTACACAGGGCTGCTGGTTGTGCTGATTTTCATGGGTCTAGACAGCAGCAGGTGCTTGAAATTGTGCCAAAGAATCTCTCTTCCATGTTCCCCGCACCTTAATTTGTAGATGGTTTCTGTCCTGCTTCTCTCAGGAATTTTGAGCCAGGAAGGGAAGAGACTTTAGAAAAATAGGGTTGGGGGCAGGAAGACAGAAATTGAGAGAGGGAGGGACAGGTGGACAGGTGGAGAGAGAGAGGGAGCAGAGGAGGGAGGGAGAAAGGGAGAGGGGTAGAGAGAGAAAGAGAGAGAGAGAGAGAGAGAGAGAGAGAGAGAGAGAGAGAGATTTACAAAGTTTCCCAGGATTTTGAGAAGCAGAGCCAAAGGCAAAGATTCTTATGTTGACTGGTTTTCAAGTAGTCTCTGTTCTTGAGAAAGCACTGTTTTCTCCTGTTTGAGTGGCAAGATCCCTGTGAGAACCAAGCCTATTGCCCCCTTTCACTGACTTCTTTGTTTCATATAGAAATACCCAGTGAAATACGGAGCAGGAAAGTGTCAGACTGACAACGGGCCTGCGATACCTGTGGTCTATGATTTTGGTGATGCCCAGAAGACTGCGTCTTATTACTCCCCTTATGGCCGAAGTGAGTATTCAGCACTCCCCTGAAATCTTTGTAGGAAAGATGATACATTTAGTTAGCACAGGTAGCAGTTATGTTGTTACTGCAGCCTGGTTTTCTTCTGTGAATGTTAAGTGTATTGCCGTAGTTAATCTGCACAACTTCTTTGGGGCCTGAGCTAATATTAACTAATAACTCCTTGGTGGAGCTTAGGAAACAGCCTCCAAGGGGTTGATGACCCAGCTTAGGCCCAGGCAGTAGAGCTGGGATCGGGACTGGAAAATTGGACTCTTTACTCTACTCCTAGCAAACCCATTACCACACTGTCAGTAAGTTGTTAGAAGCAGGCCAGGTTCATGTGCATACAGGATAATTGCATTTTTATTGTGAAGTTTAATATTCATTTGTTCAATGTGAATTTAAATTTGACAGTGTGTCCTTCATAGAGGCTGAGCCTCTGCTATGAAGTCATTTTTATGTATATTCGAGATTTAAGACTAAAATAAAAGAGAACTAGGAAAGTGTAAAGGGGGTTGTGGATGTGCCTCAGGGGTAAAGAACTTGCTTAGTATGTATGAGGCCCTGAGTTTCATCCCCAGCACTGCTCCTCCCATAAAGAAAAAAGAATAATTAAAAAATAAGAGAAAAAGTAGAAAAGGAAAGTGTGAAGAGAGTCAGAGTGAGTGCAGCCACCAGTTGCTTCAGTAAGCCCTGATGACGTGCACTGGTGATCTCTCTGCAGTGTTGAACTTCTCCATACAAGTCTCTGGAGGACCAGGAGCCCTCCTTCAGAGCCCTCCTTCACAGCTCTTGGTCTCTGTGTACAGAAAGGTCCCCCTTGCCTAGGGTCGGTCCCATGGGCCGCAGTGGTGCCCAGTTCTACTTGCGCAGCTAAAGAGTTGGGCTGGAGCCTCAGCCCCAGCTAGACCGCATTTGCGCTGACCGAAAGGATGCTAGCTCCAGCATCTTCCTTGAAAGGTGTTTTCTGTCCCTTGTTTTCAGATGAATTCACTGCAGGATTTGTCCAGTTCAGAGTATTTAATAATGAGAGGGCAGCCCATGCCATGTGTGCTGGAGTAAAGGTCACGGGATGCAACAATGAGCATGTGAGTCTTTGTGTATTAAAGGAACCTGTGAGGAAGGCTGATTTTGTCTCTCTCCCTGTGTGTGTGTGTGTGTGTGTGTGTGTGTGTGTGTGTTGGGTATGGCATGTCTATCTGTGTGTGGGACTGTGACATTCTTTTGTCTTTTCTTAAATCTTCTTGGACCTGAGTGCTGGGACTGTGTGTTAAGGTACAGGGTGATGGTAATATTGGGGACCAAAATCACTATTGAGCCTTTGAACACATATTGCTCTATGTTCAGCCTTTGGGATAAAGCACTCAGCTGCCTGGAGTTAGAGCAGCTGAGAGCCTAGGCCTTGTCATTTTCTACCTGAGGTTTATCTGTAGTAGTAAAACTTGGTCCTCCATGTGATGGGTTGCACAGATGTGAACCTTGTCAAGGAGCTGCTCAAGGTCATGGACATCATCTTATGGACCTCATTCAGGCCATCTTCTGGCCAAAGAAATTATCTGCTCACAGTAAGTGTTTCAGAGAGGGGCAGCAAGCTGTTTTGCAGTTGGGTGCAGCGTAAATGTGTGAGTTATAGGCAGCAACTGATGAGGAAGTAGTGATAGCTGCCTCAGGAAGAGATTTTTACATCACCCTAGTGATTTCGACTTTATGCTATAGTTGATGGAAGCCATTAAAGCATTTTATAGGGTAGACTGACTCAACGATCTTCCTGCATTTTATAAAGATTATGCTGGTTGCACAGGAATGGCAGATTTTATTGGTGAGGTCTTAACTTCACCATGGGACCAGTGCCGAGATGGTTTCAGTAGTCCAAATGAAGACCTGAAGTCTATGAGAAGCACCCGAGGGACTGAATGGAGGACACTGATAAAAGGCAAAGACTTTTACCCTATGACCAGTTAAATGCAGAGGATGGAGGAGAAGTCTAGAATAATATGGTTTTCATTTGTGTGAGTATTTATTAAGTCAGGACATCATAAACAGGCTTAGGTTTAGTGAGGGATATACAGTCAGGTGCTGCTAAATAATATTTTGGTCACAGAAGAATTCCACTTGTGCTAAGGAATGTAAAATACTATATCACCTTGCACTGCTATCGTCATTGAAGTTTATGTCAGTATGCTGTATGATGTTGTACAACATCATATAGCATACTAATTGCACTGATCAGTGCAATTAGTATGCTGTATGATGTTGTTATAATGATAAAAATGTCTGTCTGTGCGTTTCTGGGCTTGCATCTCTGCCTTTGCGTGATGCACAGCTATAGTTATTTTGTCATGTGGAGCTCGAAGCGCCTGTGTAGAGATCCAGGTGGCACTTGTTGTGTGAAGTCTTTATCCCAAGACCTATCTAGACTGCAGCTGGAGCTCTGGGGTCATCAGTAAATCGTGAATAGTGAACAGTGTGTTCAAAGTCATTATTGCTTCAGAGGGTTTGTTGTGTTGATGGAGCAGCAAACTGCTTTTCAGGTTTCATGTATGTGGTATAAGAAGTGTCCCCTTCCCGGGAGCAGCTCTTAAGGAATTCATGAAGGGTCCAGCCAGGGACGCTGAGAAGCAATGATCAGAAATGCTGGAGGAAAGTCAGGTGAAGGCAGTGATGTCAAAACGGCTACAGGGAGAGGAGTTTTCCTGAGTGTAATCGATGAATATCACCAATGGAAATTTTCAAGAGAAATAAGACTGAGCTGGCTTTGGCCACTAACGCGTCTTCCTGCTCGGCAGCAGACCTCTCATCGCTGTGTTCTGCCCTCCTTGTTTCCTAGCACTGCATTGGTGGAGGAGGATACTTCCCAGAAGGCCATCCTGTGCAGTGTGGAGACTTTTCTGCCTTTGACTGGAATGGATACGCTGCTCACAGTGGCTGGAGCTGCAGTCGGGAGATCACGGAGGCGGCCGTGTTTCTGTTCTATCGCTGAGGCCTTTGTGCTATGGGACTTAGACCCCTTCTCCCAACTCTGGGATCCCAGGGATGTGGAACACCTGACCTAGTAACTACATTGCTAATGGGACAGGAAAGAAGAATAAATCGTATTCATCAAGGCTTAATGTCTTCATAAATTCTTTCATGCAGGGAATAAAACACAGGAAATTTCAAGAGAATATTTACTGATGTGACTGATGCTGATTTAGCCACTTTAGTGCTTGAAATATTAGGGCTTAGAAATCCTGATAGAGGAAAACGCCATCCTACAGCCCCTTTCAGGTAGCCCCTCAATGTAGCCAGAAGGATAAGAGTAGGGAGGAGGCATGGTACCCTATCCCTTCCTAACTTGTTTATATGGACTGATCAAGTTGCATCCTCAACCTGAATTCCTAAAGGAGAAAAGAGTGCATTTCTTTGTGGTGCATCAAGGAAGAAAAATGCTCCCCAATGTCCATATGTGGTACATTCTAGCTGGCCACATTCTATTCAGGGAAGGATGCGCCCAGCAGGCCCGTGGTGATGACGCCTCTTCTTGGGTGGCTAACCTTCCTGGGCTTGCATTTGCAGGGGCTTGATCAACAGAAGCTAAGGGGCCAACTCATCCTCATGGTGCTGTCTATACATGGGGGTGACGTCAGTCTCAACCTATGACTAAACATTAGGCAGTGTATTATTTTCCTTTGGAGTGCAGATATGACCACGATAAGCCCTTCCAATTCTCCGCTTTCCTGAGTGTCCATTACTTCTCACTGGCTAGAGGTGGGCAACAAGAAGACAAATCTGCTAGCTACACAGGAATTTAACTCTAAAAAGTTAACTCTCTATTTTCCTCTTTGAGAGCTAGAAAATTTCTTATGTCTCTTACAAAGTGGAACAAGAAGTTGCAGGAGCAGGGTAAGAAGGGGACCAATATTGTCTTGGTCGCTTTCTCCATGCTGGGACCATGTACCACTTATTTTGGCTCACAGTGTAGTCCACTGTCTGCCGGCTGCAAGGCAGAGATGACATGGTGGAAGGCTCAGGTGGAGGAACGCTGCTCAGAGGGGAAGGGGGATGGTGGGGTGGGGGGCAGAGGCCCTTCCAGTTCACACTCCAGTGAGCTGCTTCTTCCGGCCAGACCCTGCCGCCCAGCACCAGGTCAGCTACAGTTGTTCCCATGAGCCAGTCACCTCCAAGTCTGCATGCAGACAGCTTTTGAGGGGGACAACGTAGATGTAAATCAAAACAAAGAGGAAGGGAAAGAAGCTTCCTCGAAAAGTTTCTGGGAAGATTTTCTCATTTCAACTAGATTTAGTTGGTCCTGGCTTAGAAATTTTTAGTATTATTTCTATAGTGTTCTTTCTTACTCCTTAGTAACATGTTCTTTGTTACCTGTTGTTCCTCAATTTCCTCTATCCCATCCCCATTTTCTACACTAGCACACAGGTCTCTCTGTCCCTTACTCCGCTCAGCTGTCCTTCTTCCAACTGGAGAAACTAACAGCAATCCTAGTGAGTTTTGAACTCTGGTAGGTGTTTCCTGTATGTACTCACTTTCCATGAGCCAGGCACTGCTAGCCTGGTGAAGGGAAAGATACTTTTATTTTTTACATGTGCCTTTATGTGTCATTCCAAAAATACCTATTGAACATGCTCTGGTTCCTGGGCTAAGTGATGGAGAACATGGATGAACTGAACCAATTTCAGAGCTGCAGGTGGGGGTGCCCGCAGGCTGTTCCCAAGGGAAGCTAGAGGGCACTTTAGAACTGGAAAACAAGTGCGCCACTCTGTTTGTCACTGCAAACAGAAATCACCCAGGATTTGGAGGCAGATTTATTTAAATCAACAGGCTGTGACAGGGATTCATTCCCGAGGTATCAGGTCCCAATCTCTGGTATCTTGGGCTTATGTGGGGTTTACAAGTACAGAAGCAGAGTATTTGGTAGTCATTGATTTGTGACACCTTCGCTTATTATTGCTGAATGTTCTAAAAGAAAACTACATCGTATATGCTGCATACTAAGCTAAGTTCAAACGCTGGGCAAACTCACGGGAAGCTACAGCTTCAGGGTGGGGACAAGCTCGGAGCTGCAGGAAGCAAATGACTGAGATAACATACGAGTTCAGGGTATGGTTGCTTAGATAAGGGAAATATAGACCTGGCATTGGTGGGCAACAGGAAGACAAATCTGCTAGCTGCACAGAAATTTAACTCTAAAAAGTTAACTCTCTATTTTCCTCTTTGAGAGCAGGGGCCTGAATCTGAATGCTGTTAGGACTGCCTGAGAGAGCAGTGTCTGGGGGTTGCAGGACCAATTAAGAAACTAAATGTGAGCATGGAAAGAACAAAACAAAAGCTGGGCCAGGAGATGGGTGAGCAAGCAGTGGTGGGGAACAGCATGACTCCGGGGAGGGGAGAAGCCACATCGGTCCAGAGGTAATTCCTCTCCCATTCTTTCCATGTACAACAGGGATGTTGTGCTTACGGGATATGTTCATGCTATCCTTGCTGGTCCACAGGTGCCCACAAGGGAGCCCCCAACACCACCGCTAGGGGCTGCTAAGGGGAGGGAGGCCTGAGCTTCACTAAGTTTATGAAAAAGAACAACAGAGAGTCAGAGAGTGGAGCCCAGGTCAGAGGGCATCCAGCGATGCACTAGGCCGCAGGCTGGTGGAAGGAGCTGTAGAGGAGACTGTGAACTTTGCCCTGCAGGGAAAGGAGTGGGGGTGAGAAGGCCCTGGTTGGAGGTCAGCAGAGAGCTGCAGGGTGGACCACTTACACTGCACCCTCCCACCCCCAAGTTGACTACTATGTTGTATCTAGAGACAGAGAGAAAGACTTGCAGTTAGCCGCACCCCTAGAACTGCCTGCCATGGATGATGGCTCAGAGAGACAACTGATTGGCAGTGCAACCTGCTCATAGGCAGGCAATCAGGCCCCACCAGCTCCCCACCATAGTAACAGCTTCTGAAAATCTCAAAGCTTCCTTCACTCTCTAATTTCACTTCCTTTCTTCTGCATCCCTCCTCCCATTCCCTCAAATATTCTCTAAAACCCGTTCACACTAGCTTTTTACTCCAGATGTAAAAATAATTCCAACAGATTAGACCCAGGCATATTTTTCACCTATGCATAGTTCTCCATTTTCTCTTCTTTTCTTCCTACTGACTCACTCCCTTCTTCCTTTTTGCTTAACCCTCCCTTTACATCCTAGTCTGCCAGTATGGCCCAGGCTGTAGGAGGTATTGATAAAAGGGTAAAGCTGTTAAAGCAAGTCTTAATGTATATGGTTGATGTTTGGTTGGCATTGTTGATGCTGTTATAATGGGTAGGGATTTTTTTCCTTGCAACACAGTGCCATTAAACTGAGTGAGTCGAGGTGGTAGATGAGGCTAAGAGAGAGAAAACCCAAATCACATGGTAAGAAAGCAGATTACTAACTAAAGAGCTCTTCATACTAGTAACAGGGTCTTCCCACTCTGGTTGATTCTCAATCCTCAGCATACACACAGACACACATACACACAGAAGCATGAGAAGACAAGGCTGCAAAATGCCTCCAAATTCTTCCAGGCAGATCAAAGGGGCACTGGTGGGGAGAAAATTAAACACCAAATAGCTGAACTTAGCAAAATTATAATAAAAAAGAAATAAAGCTTAGTAAACTAAAAGGTGATATAACTAAACAGATAATAGAGTTAAAAAACAAATAGATTAGTAAGCTTGAAAATATTCAAATAAAACAGATAACCAAAATTCAAAGCATAGATGACCAATTTATCAAAGAATTAGAGTCCATGAAAAATTGCAAAATAAAAATCTAAAGGAGAATTCTATTGAAAGTATAGGCAGTTAAATGGAAGGAAATATAAAAGAACAAGTGCACAATAAGGCAAGGACAGGAGTAAGCTGATGTCTATCAGTGTCAGTGATCTGACCTTCCCAATTGAAAGACACATATTGGTAGATTGGATAAAAAAAATCCAAATCCAATGTTAGGCTGCATATAAGACACTCATTTAATTGAGAAATTCATAGACTTAAAAATCAAACGATGGAAAAGTATGCTATGTAGTGCAAGCCTGAAAACAAACATTAATAGCTATTACATTTTTAGACAAAATGGAATTCAAGCCAGATTGGATGAGAAAAGTTAAAGAATGTCACTATATATTGATTATGGAAAAATTTAAGAAGAAATAAAAATTATAAATATTATGCATCAAATTGCACTACACTCAGCTTCCTAAAATAAACACTACTGAACATAAAAGATCAGAAAATACCCCCAACGTAATAGTAATGAACCTCAATACCCCACTTTCACAAATAGATCTATTAGACAAAAATCAGCAGAGAAATACCAGAATCAAACTACATTTTCAAACAAATGGATGTATTAGATATTGACATACTATTCTACCCTACAACAGTAGAATAGACATTCTTTTCAGTAAGACATGGAAGTTTCTGCAGAAGAGACCACTCTGTAGTTCATAAAGCATGTTTAACTTTATAAACAAAAATTAAAATTATCCCACGTGTATTATCTGATTATAGTGAACTGAAACTAGAAATCAAAGTCAACAGAAACCACAGAAAGTTCACAAATACCTGGACATTAATATAAATACTTTTGGACTGTGGAGATATCTCACCAGTCTAAGCGTTTGCCTAGGCAAGCACAAGGACCCGGGTTTGATCCCCAGTATTTCATGCTGTGTGGGCCCTGCCCTGGGTGTACAAAGCCAGCCATCAAGACTGGGTGTGGTGGCACAGCGTATAATCCCAGCACTGGGGAGGTTGAAACAGGAGGATCACTATGAGTCCAAGCTGTGTAGTGAGACCCTGTACCAAATACATAAAATTAAAAACAAAAAACACTTTCAATTAATGAGTAGGTCATAGAAGAAATCAAATAAAGCATTCTTAGAATCAAATGATAATGCCAGTATGGCATACTAGAACCTATGGGACAGGTGAAAACAGCCCTTAGATGGGAGCTTATTGTCGTAACTTAACACATCAGAAACATACAGCAGCCCAAGTAAATAACTTAACGGCATATCTCAAGGTCCTAGAAAAACAAGAACCATCCGAATCCAAGGAAGGAAATTATAAACCAATGGAGTAGAAACTAATG